TTTATTTTTTTATTTTTTTAATTTTTTTGAGATGGTTCTCACTATGTAGCCTAGAACTCACAGTCCTCCTCTGTCCAGGCACATGCCATGATACCTGGCTAGAACAGTGTATTCATTCATTCATTCATTCATTCATTCATTCATTTACATGTCTGTGTATGTCATTTGTATGCAGGTGCCACAGACACAGGGTGGGCAAGATCTCCTGGAGCTGGAGTTAGATTATTTGTGAGCCAGCCAATGTAGGTTCTAGGAACTAAATTCATATCCTCTGGAAGAGCAGTAAACATTTTACCTGCAGAGTCATTTCTCCAGCCCCCTAGAAGAATGACTTAATCTCTTACACCAAACCACTTTGAAGGACTTATTGTACACTTTTGCAAAATATATAGATATAGACCCTATCAGAAGACTGGCCTGATAAACAGCTAAGCTGAGCAGCTATTAGAGAAAAGAAAGCCATTACACACTCACCTCAGGAAAACTGCCTCAGAGAGGAACTTTTACATCTAATAATAACAGTGCGTGCTCCAAATAACCACTTACCTCATGGGTACACTGAAATAATTCTTCAAATGAGTGCTACTAATATCAAGTGTTAGCCCAAATAGGGTATCTTCTAAATATAAAACTAATTATAACATTGCATTTAAAGTTTTTGCTCAAAGGGCTGAGATGGCTCAGTCAGCAGAGTGATCACCATGCACACATGAGTTCAGATCCCCAACACCCACATTTAAAAACTGAGCATGATGGTGCATGCCCAGTGCTGGGGATGCAGAGAAAGGTGAGTTCCTGGAGCTCACTGGTTTACCAGCCTTGTCAAATCAGTGAATTCCAGACATGTAAGAGACCTGACTCAAAAAAATAAGATGAAGGGACTCGGGAGATGGATCAGTGGGTAAGAGTCCTTTCTTCTTGTTCAGGCACGAGCACCTGAGTTCAAATTCCCAGGACCCCATAAAAAGTTATGCATGGCTGCACAAGCCTATAATCCCAGCATTTGGGAAGTAGATTTTGAGACCTCATTGACTGGACAGCCTCACTGCAGTGGCAAGCTTCCTGTCAGCGAATGAGAGACCATCACAAAGCAATAAGGTGGAGGAGAGAGAAAAAAAGACATCTGACATCTGGTTCTAGCTTCTGCATGAGAGTGCATGCACTCATACAGCCACATACACATGTGCATGCACCACACACATACAGGAAGGGAGGGGGGAGGGAGGGAGGAAGGGAGGGATGAAGGAAGGAAGGAAGGAAGGAAGGGAGGGAGGAAGGGAAGGGAAAAGAAAAGAAAAGAAAAGAAAAGAAAAGAAAAAAGAAAAGAAAAGGAAAGAGGATGACTAAGAAGACACCCAACATTGATCTCTGGCCTCCACTCATATACACACACATGCATGCATGTGAGAGTACACACACACACACACACACACACACACACATCTTGTTTAAAAGACAGTGAATTATGTTGATCGAGCAAGCTGTCTCTGTGGATAAAAGCACCTGAGTTCAATTCCTGGAGCCCATGGTAGAAGGGCAGAACCAACTCCCAAAAGTTGTCCTCTGACTTCTACACATGTGCTGTGGCATGTGGGTACCAGTGCACACACACACACACACACACACACACACAAACTAATAAATTCAAAAGGAGAAAATGAATTGTGTTGAAGCTAGGTAATGTGTACAAGGCGTTAACAGTAGTGTTTACTCTTGGGTGTTTAACCACACCTAGTTAGGAATAAAAATAACACCAAAGAAAATTAAATATATATTGGATTTTTTTAAATTACCACATGAAAGCAGTTTTTGTTTCTAATTCCAGTATTCCACCAGCTTGCCCTATATTCACGCAAGTCTCTGCTTTGAAAAACAGCATGGTATACCATGGTTAAGCCAAAAGGAGAATAGCCTGAATTAATAATTTTCCAACTCCATAGAAATCAAAAAAAGAATTTTCCCCTTAACTAAAGGTTTTCTGTTTGTTATTAAACTGGCTGCAACACTTACTTGTCAACATAACACAGTGTGCTTTTCACTTATTGTTTGACTTATCAATCGCCCAGAAGTCTGCTTTAACAATATCTATAGCTACAAAAAGTCTTCCCATGCACACACTGGAGCTGGGTTTACAGTAACAGTAAGACCAGCAACCACCATGTCAACCAATACAACACTTTGCAGGGATAAATCAATGGTGAATAAGTTAATTTTTAATGGATAAGTCCTTTAAACAAAGCAATAAAATGAAAAGTTAACACAATAAATCTGTGAGGTGGGCTCATGAATGTTCAATTATCTCTGCACTTTTGGAATACCTGAGCTAGTCTGAGCTTTTTCAAGGCTCTATGGAAACAATTGTATCACCTGTTCTCACCACCAGAACACCAGGTTCAGCTCCAGCTTTGCTCCAAAAGGAAAAGTGTCAAGGAACTTAGAGAAGAGTCACAGTGATGTAAGAATCTAAAAGGGAATAAGTCTTCAAAGGTAAGACATAAAGAACTCAACAGGCAGAGCGGAGTCCCCTGAAAACAGCTAGAGAGCAAAGAACAAAGGATGGTAGCTGTCAGCAAGTGCCCCAGAGGGTGGGGTGGGAGGTGGGGAGGAGACAGGATGGATTATGTTGTCAAATGCCATCATACCATCTGCTGTGGAATGAGCGTTTGTGTCCCCCAACAAATTCATGTTGAAGCCATAAGGCCTGGTGTGATCTAGAGGTAGAGCCTTGGAAGGTCATGGGGTAGGGCCCATGATGGTACTAAGGGACACAAAATCTCTCTGTCTACCATATGAAAACAAAACCAGGAAAAGGCTCTCACCAAGGCCCCCAAACCCAACCATGCTGCCACTCTATTTCTGAAGCCTTCCAGCCTCCAGAGCCATGAGAAAGAAAAGTTGTTTAGGGAGCTGGAGGGATGACTCAACAGTCAAAAGCACTGGCTGCTCTTGCAGAGGACCCAGGTTCAGTTTCCAGCACCCACAGGGCCACTAACAACCATCTGTAACTCCAGTTTCAGGGGATCTGACACTCTCTTCTGGTCTCTGCAGGCACTGCATGCACATGCAAGCAAAACACTCACTCATACACACATTTTTTTTTAATTTTTTAAAGAAATGTTGTTTAAGCCACCCCACCAGTAATAATTTGGTGTATCAGCCCAAACTAATCTACCTTGGTGGAAGAGTAGGGTGGGAAGGGAAATCTACCAAGCTAGCAGAGACGAGTAACTGACCAAATACCAGTACTCCTACTTCAGGGACGTTTATCACATTGCTAAGCGCACTTGCAGATGAATTTTCTCAACAGTTCTTCTGCAACCAAGAAAATTAACTATGCACTTCTCTGACTCCAGCTACCACATGCTCAGAAAAGGGCAGGAAAGTGTGGTGGGCAGACTTTAAATTAGCCCCAATAGCTCTGCTCCTGGTACTCACATCCCTGCGTAATTTCCCTTTGAGCACATGGTGGACCTAATGATTGCCTTTAAGCAATAGACTATGGTATCACTTGATACCCTCTCTCTTGCTGGCACTCTGCTATCTTCTCCCTTTCTTGCTTTGATGAAGCCAGGTGGCAGGCTGTGAAATACTCTGGGGAGGCTATGGCAAGGGACCAAGGAGACCCTCTAGCCAAGAGCTGAGAAGAACTGAGGGAGGCCTGCAAAGAGCCAATCCATTCAATAGCCACAAGAGTGAGCTAGCAAGTGAACCCTTCCTAGCTGAGTTTCATGACTGTACCCTGTGAGATACTGAGCTAGGCCCAGGCTCCAATCCAAATTTTTTTAAAAAGTACATTGTTGTATACTGCCAAGTTTAGGTATGTTCTACAACAACAGGTAAGCCAACTATCTCAATCTAGTCATGTGGTTCAGTGGTAGAGCACTTGCCTAGCATGAGAGAGACACTAGGTTGGATCCCCAGCTCTGAAAAAAAAAATGTCTTAAGAAACTATAAGCACATCTGACTTTAGAGTCAAGTGTTTCTTAACAACATGGATAAATTCTCAGAAATGCATAGTTAGGCAATTTTGTCATTGGGCAGATATCAAGGAGTGAACTTACACAAACTGAGATGCCTATGTATCTAAATGATATGACCTTGGGACCACCTTCATCTGTGCAGTCCACCACTGGCCAGAACATCATCAGGGAGTGAATGACGAGACCTTTCTATTACTGATCTTCAAAGAATCCATCTGCAAACTACTCACTGACTCCAGACACAGAAGATAAGCATAAGTATAATTCTGTACATCCCTGAGAGTGACGAGAAACCAAAAGACAGGGATAAATCTTG